GAAACATCCAAGAGAACATACTCCTGTTCAACGAGATGATTAGCTTGGCCCATCAAGCTAAGAATAACGTCGCGCTCATCTTCATTGACTTCGAAAAAGTTTATGACCTTGTGGACTGGACATTCTTAGACATGTGCCTGGGGCGGCTGACTTTCGAAAACAATTTTCGAAGGTGGGTCCGTATTCTGTACCATAATGCAACTACATCCGTTCAAATTAACGGATCTTTGGCTCCAGAGATTAAACTGCAACGTTCAGTCAGACAGGGAGACCCCATCGCCCCCTTCTTATTCATCATCATAATGGAAGCATTAGCAGCCAACCTCCGACATAGCAAGGACTTAAAGAAAATTCAGATAGCCGGTATTCCTGAGGGCGCAGTCCCAGTCTGCTCACTATTCGCAGACGATCTGACAATTATGGCCGATGCCACACATAAAAACATGGAGGAGATACATAGGTTCATGGACCTTTTCTGCACACTCTCGGATATGGCCGTCAACTGGGGGCACAAAACGTTAGGATGGTGGCTCCACCATCAAGGGGGCCGCCCCCCAGAAGGTCACCATATTTCCTGGGTGGATCTAGAATCTCCAATCAGGGTTCTGGGGGTAAAAATGACAGTCAATGGTAAACCCCCGGAAAATGATGGCTGGATAGCAGCCCCGGCATGCACCAAACTCTCCCAATGGAACCATCAACATACATCACTTTTTGGGTGGGCCTTGGTGATAAACAATGTAGTCTTAGCCTCCCTTTGGTATAAATTCGTACTATGGCCACTAAGCCCAGGGGCCCTAAAGATCTTAAAGAGGAAGGTGGCAGCCTATCTATGGAGAGGGGATAGTGAGAACCCCCATGCCATCAGTCGGGTGGCATGGGATTCTGTCACTCAACCCAAGGCCCTCTCACCCAGTCCCAAACTCTTAGTTTACAATGGGTTGTACGCTTGATATTTGAGAATGCTCCTGTATGGGGACCACTAGCAATGGTGTAAATTGCCCGCCTGGCCCCAGAGGCCCCTCAGTCCGTTCACCCCCTCCAATGGGTGGACGGCCGCTACTGGAGAGTGCCACGTCGCCCCCGGGGAGGGAAGGGACGGAGAGACAACTTCTTGCCTCATAGATCTGCAAGCTTGGGAATGGAAATCTTCAAACGCAGGAGGGAACCTTCCTCTGTTGGACTACTCAGTGAAAGCTGGGTACACTCTATCTGCAAAACCTCGAAAGTCACCTGCGACCACGACAACAAACAGATGGCAGGCCATGCTGGGCAGTACCATACCAGAGGCGGAACTACAATTCAAGAAGCTGTGGGAAATTCTCACCACCCTGCCAAATGGACGACAGGTAAGTATCCTCTGGCTACTTTCGCTGGTAGTGACCCCATCTGTGACTTGGCTAATCAGCAGGGGCATGGATGTAGAGTTAAGATGTCACCGCTGTAACTGGCCTTTCAAATCCACAAGGTACTTGTGGTGGGAATGTCCCGCATCTAAGAGGATCTGGAGGTGGTGGAAACTGCATTGGGAAGAGATGGGAGGAGGAGTACCGTGGGATGAGCAATGTATTCTTCTGGCTTTCCTACCAGCAGAATCCTCAGGCAAGAAAGGTTGGGGTTATCTGGCTCATGTCACCAGGGGAATGATTTGTGAGATTATATGAGAGGACAGAAACAAAATGAGGTTTGAGAAGAGATCCCTCTCTGATGTGGAGATCAAGAGAAGGATCAAGTTGGGACTGAAACAGGCAATCGTAGTGGACTGGAGAAGGAAGGTGACAGCAGGGAAGGGAAGCAGACATCAATGGAAATGGTTTCTGGAAACATGGGCAAGAAGTGACCGCTGGGAAAAAGTTCACAGGTCGAGAGGATTAGTGTTTTTGTAACCCAACCAGATAGTGAGTCATCTAGATTATGACAACCTGTACCAGGGCACTCGGTCAGGCTGGCCGATTAGTTAGATAGAGTGATCATACAACCAGCCCTGAGGGCACTCGGTTAGCTAGAGCCGCTGTAGGCTGATTAGGAGAGTGTCCAGGCGCTTGGACGAAGTGTCGTTCCTGCAAAAGTCTCGGAAGACTCTCACGGGAGGCAGCAGCCAATAGCAAGCAAGAGTGCCACAAGAAAAGAAGGAAAAACAAAGAAAACAAAAACAAAACAAACGAGTGCCGACGGAGAAAGGCAACTATTGGCTCAACTGATTTCCAAAGGTTTCCCACTGCGCATTTGGTCCTCCCTGGTGGGGTCCCCTCAAAACTGCTTTCCAGCTTTCCAAAATTCTTTGCCCCTTTTTTCTGGCCGGACGTTTTTTCCATCCTTTTTCCTGTGGGGTCCAACTCTAAGACGGACTCTGAGGCAGGCCCGTGCTCCTGAAAATCTGTCTGCAACGCAGCAGTGAGGGCAGATACTGACACGAGGACTTTCGACTGAGCTCTGGCTGCATTTGCTGTCAGATATATCCGCCGTCAGATACATCCTCCGGCGCTCGTAATTGCGGCCAGATTACATCCAGGAAAGTGCCAGTGTGACTACGCTCTGAGCAGCAAAGCTCAAGTTATGTTTGGCTGGGCCCCCACAGGAATGTGGGAAGGGAAAAAATTGCTGTGGACGTGTTTCCGGGACCCCACACCTCGCCGAAAAGGTTCTGGAAAAGCTGAAATGTCTTCAAGAGATTGTTTTCTGGAACCCCACAGCCCCGCATTTTGTGTCCCGGAAGATGGTGTTTAGACGTTTTCACATCATCTGGGGGCTGGAAAAGGCTGTCGGGAGGAATTCCGCAGCGAAATTGTGCTGAAAGCAGAGCATAGCCGTGGGTGCCATCTTCAACTTTTCCAAGGTCAGGTCAATTTCCAAGGTCAGGTCCCATTGTCGGACCATCGAGTGTCCGCACATGCCACAGCACAGGGGTCTCCTCAGGTCCAGCCAGGACACACCAGCACTTTCCTTTTTCGGCCACTACCCATGGACCTTTCCTCTTACACCACTAGTACCTTTCCCGCGTGGGAAAATAGGGGAAACTGGCAGTTTTCCCAAACTCCTGAATATTGGGAGGTCGGGCCCGACGACGACTGCCATTGATAAATCTGATGGGGGCCGTCATTTCGTTTAGGCCTCTGAAAAGGTCGGACGCCCGCTATTTTCCCAGCGGCAAAGGTACTAGTGGTTTACGGGGAAAAAAAAAAAAAAAAAAAAAAAAACGCTTTGCCGCAAAACGTACTCTGCCACGGGGTCCCAGAAAAAATACTTCCCAACTTTCCAAAATGACTTGCCCTCTTTTCGTGGCCCAACGTCTTTTCCATCCGCACTGCAGTGGGGGCCCAGCCTCATAGGCTCAGCCATCGATAAGGATAGTGGGATCTGCAGTCCTCGCTCTCTTTTCTTATCTTATTTTTTTTCTCTCCGAACTCCCCACTAGTGAAGAGGATTGGTTTGAACGCCTGAATCTGAACGTGTTTGTGGAGAGGTTCAGTAGATCGCGATTGATCTGCTTTTCTGCCCCGACCGCCTTCCATTTGTAAAGGTGTCTTGACCTGAGAGACCAGTTGCCGGCGGACAAGCTGTAGCGATTTCATGCTCTTTTGGTGCATAGTGGTGGGGGACCACAGGGCAGCACCTGGGCGCCCAGGTGAGTGTACACAAATGCTTCTCAGTTTCATCGAGTGATCTGGTGTGTACAACCAACCAGCCAGCCAGCCAAGCAACCAATCAATCAATCAATCAATCAATCAATCAACCGACCAACCAACCAATCAACCAATCAATCAATCAATCAATCAATCAATCAATCCATCAATTCAACGAATCAATCAATCAATTTTAATTTGTTCTGAAGTTTCCAATCAAGGGTGAGAAACTACCAATCAGGGTGTGCGAGTGAAGTTTGCTGGAAGTGATCGGAGTTCGTGCAAGTTGATGAAACTCATTA